ACACCAAAAAACAAAAAAAAAAAAAAAAAAAAAACAGAATTGAAATCACCGAAGGTCGGCCGGGCCTCAGCGATGCACGGCCAGGCTTCGATAGCGCTGGCCGGCCTTCGACAGCGACAAAGGGTAGTACGGTAAAAGCCATACCCGTGGCTCTTTAAAACACAAAATAGCTCCCATTTAGATCACAACCTAGGTCGAATATCCCCCATTTTCCTTTCTAAACTTCCCTTCTCTCTAGATTTCCTCTTTTTCTTGAGTTTACCCTACAACCCTCACAAAAATTTCCTAAAACAACTTGTTTTCCTCTTCATTTTGAACCAATTAAAAATTGTTTTGGTTGAAGTTTGGGTTTTTTCTTTGTTTTTTCCTCACTTTCTCACATTTTTGCCCTAACTTTTCTTGTTTCCCTTTGATTTTCCACAATTTCTCCACTTTCTCTCTCTTAGGGTTTGAAACTTAGGATTTCACCTACTTTCACTCATTCCCTTCACTTTTTCTTCACTTTTTCCGTGGCTAGTGACGAGGTTCCCATTCCAGAGCCTACCATAGGTGTTGGTGCTGCCATTGGTGCAGACATGGAGGCGGAGGAAGCCGCCGCATTGCTTTCCCTTGCCGAGAGGCCTTTGCCTGTCCACTTTGTTAAGAAGAAGGGATATCCCAAGATACTTCCCCGAATCTTGGGTGATTGGGATGCCACATAGAGCACTCAAGTTTCTGGCCATAGAATTGCAAAAATTAGGGGAGACAAATAACTTGGACTTAGCCAAATTCACTTTCAACCAAGAGTGAGTACTGAAATAGTGAAGTACCTCCATTATGGCCTCACAATTCTTGGTGTCTACTTTCTCAAATAAATTCTTCTCATTTGCAAAAAATAAGTGAAAAACTCTTCTTTCTCTCTCTATATTGACAGACATATATATGTACCCTAAATATCTATATCATATATATATATATATATATATATATTGTGCTTCTGCTCCACTCTGTCTTTCCCTCTACTTCAACCTCAAATAGGTATCTATCTTCACACCTATTTGAGTTTGAAGGGGGGCATTATACCTATATCATGGTGAGCATGGTGATATACCATGTGAACCACCTAAGCCCCAAACCACCACTAAGCCGTCTCATTGGCGCACTATCTAAGCCGCTTCCTTGGCGCACTCCCTAAGCTGCCTCTTTTGGCGCACTCTTTAAGCTGTCCCATTGGCGTATTACCTAAGCCGTGTCCTTTTGCCGCACTCTTTAAACCTTCTTCTTGTCGCACCACCAAAGTCGCCCCCTGGCGCACTATCCAAGCCATCCCCTAGCGCACTCAGTTATCTGTTGTCATCATTGTTTAGCACCACGTCATTAGTTATGTGTGTGCCACGCTTGTTGGTTTAATATCCAGTTCTTACATCTGTTCGACATGACCTCTTTAAACTGTCCCGACACTGATTCTGGTTAGCTCCTACATCGGTTCGGCATGACTCCTTTAAACTGTCCCGACATTGATTCCGGTTAGCTCCTACAATGGTCCGACACGACCATAAACTGTCTCCTGGCTTTAGTTTCGGCCTTTGATCTATTTCAAGCACCCTTGTGCTCTAGTTCGGATCTTGCAATCTATTTACCTTTTATTTTATTTAGTTTTATTTCATGTTTTAGTTTCTCTCTCCAAACTCAAGATATTTATCCTCCTTGAGTTTGAGGGGGGATGTTAATGTATATGTGGTATTCCTAGATATATTAGGTATTGATTTCCTAGATGTATTTAGGAATGGCCATAGTTAGGTTCCTAGTAAGATATTCTTTCTCATAGTTAGGTTCCCAGTAGGATACTCTTTCTTAGCCTATATATACAGGCCTTCTATTGTATAGAATACATTCAACTCTACAATCATTCAATACAATACATATTGTTTTCTCTCTCTACTATTCTAACATGGTATCAAAGTCGCTCTCCACACTATGCTGCTCTGGTTCGCATTTTGCGCTATCTCAAAGGAACTTTGGTTTTTCTTCCAGTGCCCATGATTTTGCCTTGTTTATCCGTAAGACGGAGTGCAGTACTATTCTCCTTCTCCTCTACGTGGATGATATGATTATCACTAGAGATGACATAGTGGGTATTTCTAGTCTCAAACAGTTTCTCCATCGCCAGTTTGAGATGAAAGATTTGGGTGCACTTAGCTACTTCCTTGGCTTGGAAATTTCTCAAGATTCCTCTGGTTATTTTCTTACTCAGGCCAAGTATACTTCTGATCTTTTGGCTCCTGCTAGCCTTTCCGATTGCAAGACTGTCCTTACTCCAGTTGATCCTCAGACTCGTCTTACACCTCTTGACGGCCCCCTATTGTTAGATGCAACTTTATATCGTTAGTTAGTTGGTAGTCTTGTCTATCTCACAGTTACTTGTCCAGATATTGCTTATGTTGTTCGCACTGTCAGTCAATTTATCGCTGTTCCTCGCTCTCCACACTATGCTGCTCTGGTTCGTATTTTGCGCTATCTCAAAGGAACTTTGTTTCATGGTCTTCACTATTCCCCTCACTCTTCTCTACAGCTGCATGCCTTTTCTGATGCCGATTGGGCAGGGGATCCTACCGATCGTCGTTCCACTACTGGGTTCTGCTTCTTCTTGGGCATCTCTCTCATTTCCTGGCGTAGCAAGAAGCAAACCCTTGTTGCTCGTTCTAGTACTGAGGTTGAGTATCGTGCTCTTGCAGACACTACTCAGGAGCTTGTGTGGCTTCGTTGGCTTCTTTCTGACATGGGTTTTTCTCATTCAGCTGCCACTAATCTTTATTGTGACAATCAAAGTGCTATTCAGATTGCCCATAACGATGTATTCCATGATCGCACCAAGCATATTGAGATCGATTGCCACTTCATATGACAACATGTTACTAGTGGCCATGTTCGTCTTCTCTTTGTTACCTCTGCTGATCAGACCGCCGACCTCTTTACCAAAGCTCATCTTACAGGCCGCTTTTCTAATCTCCTCTCCAAGCTCAAATTGATATCTGACTTACCACCTTGAGCTTGAGGAGGGGGTGTTAGCTATATATTATTATAGATGTATATTATTATAGCTGTATATCTTATCTCTATCTCCTTCTATGCTTATCTAGGTTTCCTTTTCTGTGCGTATCTAGGTTTCCTTTCTGCCTATTTATACAGGTTTCTCCTCTTGTATTATTCATTCAATTCAATATAGAGTTTCTCTTTTCTCTTCTTTCTCTATTTTCATAACAGATATAATTTAACAAGGGTCAGTTTTTAATTGGTTAAGCATTCAATGATAGGGGACCACCACCCTTGCCACATCATTGTGATGCATTTGTGAGTGCAAATAGCATTGTTATTTTTTTAGCGACGTTTTTATATGAAGTGTCACTAACTATTACTTTTTCCGACAGTTTTTAACATCCGTCATAAAAAAGCTACTTGTCATTTTTTTAGCAACAAGATTAGAAAATTGTCCTTATCGAGTTTTAGTGACGGATGCATAAAATTGTAACAAAAAAATCTTCAAGTTTTTTCTATCGTAATGGTGCGCAAGTTGTGTGAGTAATAAACACAAAGACCATACAAACAAACATTCCTTCTTAGAAAATCTCAGATCCACTCTACCTGTAATGGTTGTATCTCACTCTTTCTCCGTGCAAGAAATGCTCTGGATCTCTTCCAAAAGCCCTAAATTTCTCTCTCTGCTCTGATTCTCTCTCTCTATATATACACTCATATAGATAATGGAAGATGTACATGGCATATGGACGGCCTCAGATCATCCCTCTCGAACCTGGTTTATGTCCTTCCGAGCAGATCATATTCCTCAAACTCACCAATGGCTTATTGCTCCTCGTCGCTCCTTCTCATTTATGGAGCTCTTCCCAGGTCTCTCTCTCTCTTTCTCTCTCTCTCTCTCTCTCTATATATATATATATATATATATGTATATATATTGAAGTTTAGTTTTTGATTAGTGTTGGGGCATTGCAGTGAATCTGAATTTGATGTTCTTTGGAGAGTGATATGTGAATTTTATACATTTTTTTTTTTTTGATTTGGCTTCAGCACAAGGTGAGACTGGGGAAGTATAAGAGAGATATTCGGATTCGATTCAAAGAGAAGGAGAGAATTTGCAGGCTGTCTGGAGCCTGGATGCCAAGTTGATCGCCGTTCTTGTAAGTGTGGAATCGATGCTCCGCACATTGTATTCATATGTGTTATTTTCTTGTGAATTGTGATCATTACTGTAGTGGTGGTTAGATACATGTTGAAAAATTAGAATGTGACGTGCACTAGTAGCTTGATATGTTGCAGTAATGTCAAATTGGATCAGAATTTTGCTTAATTGATCACTGTTGTTAGTGTAAAGATTATCTTGCCGCTCTGTGCTTTTGAATTTTTTTTTTGGAAGATGGGTTGAAATTTATGCCCAGTTTTGCATCCTAAATTGAATAGCAAAGTAAATTTTTTTATCTGGTCAATACACTTAGTTTTGACCTTTCTTTAGGTGACTATTTCATAAATGTTCCATGTTGACCCAAATGACAGTTGTATTGACAAACGGTGCGAACAGTGTTTGTCATAATGCTTGTGTTGTGATTGTTGAAATTGTTTGCATTTTTAAATCAACTTTCTGTGATATTTTTCTTTAAAGCATGTAATCTTGTCTTGTCTTGCATTGCTTGCCTTCCTTTTCAGACCACTAGTTTCTATCTTCACATATTTAAGGTCCAGTTCACAGAGAAAAGAATACAAATTGGAGGGATGCAACCATCTGGTTTGTTTCTTGTGACCATTTCTCTACTCCTCAATGGGCAGGTGCCTTTTTAAAAAAATGTATTAGCAACATAAGTAAATCCACATATTGTTTTAATTGCTGATTGTTGTGTATGTTATTCATTTTTTTGTGATGAGTCTGTATGAGAGGGTTCAAGAATGTTGTTGGAAAATTCGAAGATCTTTGGAGAAAACTCGAATCGTCTAGAAATGATGAGAGGTTTAGATTCTTTAACAGTCGCAACTAGGAACACAATAGCAAAGAGATGATGGAGATAAGAGATTGTGTGAAGAAGAAGGCAAAGTAATTAGAGAGAGAATAATGACAAGGTTCTCTCATGGATCACCTACTTTCACTCTCAAGGTAGATAATGGAGAAGGGAGATTAGTTCTTTCCTAAGAGTTGTCTCTCCAATATCCATTCCTTATAAAGCTATGGGTGGGTGCTATTTATAGGCACCTTATGATGTAAGATGGAGCTCATGTGCAAGGCATATGGGGAATATTCTCTCTAACCACCTTGTTCGAGGAGGTGACCTCTCCGAGGATGAGGAAAACCCCAAAGAGGAGATCAACCTCTCGGCGAAACCTTTCTTCTTAGCTACAATTAACCAATGATCCCCAATTATCTCAAAGGGTCAGGGGTAGTCCCAGAGGACGCCCTGCCGCAGAAGGGTTAGGAGTAGCTTAAGAGAACGTCCTGCCGCAAACATTACCGAGTCTCAGGGACCCCCTAGATCATGCCACCTCGACTCGGGTATAGGCTAGTTTAACCGAAGAGGAAATTTATCTCCACTCATTGTCCTCGGGATCGGGTCCTTTATTCGGACTCTATTACGCCCATGGTTTCTGGTGCGTCGATCTCGGAAAGTTCCGAGTCCGCAAGTGTTCTGGAACTCATTAATGGAGCGGCTTCTAGATTGCATCCGAATCCGTTCGAAGCCAAGCGCTTTGGATTTCTAGGTTCGTGGATCCGAACCTTTTCGAATCCAAGCTCAAATAGGTCTCTAGGTTCGTGGTTCCGAACCCTTTCAAGACTAAGCAAATACCTCGGAGAATGGATCTCCCCCGAGGGTTTCATCTCTTCTGAAAGTACCAGTTAACCTCCTCGGACACCTGTATAATCTGAGCCTCCTCGGACGGGCTTGTTGGACTCTCTTTTGAGATATATGCTTGATGGGTCTTCCTCGGTCCAAGTTGTTGGCTTTCTTGTGGGCCCGTTCCATAGAATTCACTTGGCCTATTTGGCAATAATTTCTCAAAGCTCACCAATTTTTGGGCTTTCCGATTAGGCTTTGATTGGGCCCAATTAATTAGTGGGCTCAATTTATTCCCTCTTACAGAGTCAAACTCTATGCTACTGATAACCGTTTTCTGGAGCACAACTAATCATCACTGCTAAGACGAGGGGTAGAGTTGTAAGCTCTGCTTCTAATCAGGGGTTGTTTGCCTGGGGGGTTGCAATTGGGTGGCAAGGCACTATCTTATGTTTAGAGAGCTTTTTGTGATTTCTGAAACATGTTCTAGTGCTTCCTTGCCCAATAAACTAACATAGTTTAAGGATTTAAACCATTGTTTTCAATTGTGAATCAAATCATGAATCATTTTGCTAAAATAATGAAACATGAATTGTATTGAATCGTGAATCATATTATTCAGTTTATTTAGCATGCTAGATAATTTTATATATGTATATACATATAAAAGTACACATATAGTATTTAAAATGAAGTAAATATCAATATAGCTAAATTATATATATGTATATACACATAAAATTATGTATATCAATATAATTAATTGATCTTGTTTTGTTTTTATTTTTATATTTTAATTTTGCAAAAATGATCGCATTTTATGCATTATGCCAACAAAACTAAGTCGCAATGACTAGTAATGAATTGTAGTGAATGAATCACAATGACTCATAATGAATTGCATATGAATCGTACAATTCACTCAATTTAAGTGTAATCATGCAAAAAAGAGTCCGTTTTGAGTTGTGAATAGTAACCATTAACTGTATGAAAGGCTGCTTTGTGTATTTCTGGAGCTAAAATTGAGTGGTTTGAAGGGAAGGATCCGGCTTGTCTTTGGAGGCATTTGATGCTTGCGAATTTAGGAAAATAGTGCTTGGACTTTTGAACAATGCCTTCGTTAAAGTTATAGTTGTTAGGGAGGTTCATAGTGCAGGGAAAGGTTAGGATTATGAAAGAAGAATTTCAGGTTGAAGTTGATGAAACTAGTGGCTATCGGCTAACAGTGATTCCAGTCAGAAAATTTCGCTTGCAGCGAGAAGGAAAGCAAGAAAGACAAGTAGATTCACTCTTAGAATCTGTTTAGGCATCACACATTGGGTTACAATTGCATTGAACAATCCACAAAGGCTTCAGAAGCTTTGAAAAAAATATTTTGCTTCATTGAATTGAAAGCACTATATTGCTTTCAATTCAAAGCATAGGTTGACCCACGGTAAGACCCATGGACTGCCCATGTCTTGAAAATCTAGAAAACTATTGAATCATAAGAACATGTATAAAATTGGACCAACATCATTTAAACTTATAGAAACCATAAAATATGACCAAGCTGGATATAAAATGTGACAACACATCTCAGTGGGCTCTGCCCTAAGATCTACCAACTTCCAGCTCTTGTCACTTATTTTAATTTTTTCCTAAGCTTCTTATGGCCTCTATCATTTATATAACCCATCTGCTTTACCCTCATTTGATGGTCTTCAGAGATTGTATTTCTCATTAAAAAGAGAAAAAAATAGGAACATTACTGTTGCAGCTATCGGAAATTCCAATTTTAATGTATGCTTTATTTAGAAACAAATTGAAATACCTAAAGCATGTTGAAGTTATGGCTGACATTATTTGTACTACTTTTTCTTCTAATGTTGCATTAGTGCATTTAGCATCAAGTTTCGTGAAGATTAACTTTGTGTCAGGCAATTTTGGCTGTTTAGCTTATTTGAGCTTACAGTAATTCTATTTTTTTTCCTTTTCTTTTGGGATGACCAGGAGCAATATTGTTTGTGACAACAAACACATGTTGATTGGACTATCGGATGGATCTTTGTATAACATTCCTGGAAGGGGG